CTCACTGCAACCTTAAACTCCTGGGCTCAAACAATCCTCCTGCCTCAGCCTCCTGAGTAGCTGGGACTACAGGAATGTATTCTGCAGCTGTTAGATGAAACATTCTGTAAATATCTATTAGGTCCATTTGGTCTATGGTGCAGATTAAGTCCAATGTTTTTGCTGATTTTCTGTCTGATCTGTCCAATGCTGAAAGTAGGGTGCTGAAGTCTCCAACTATTATTGTATTGGGGTCTCTCTCTTTAGCTCTGATAATATTTGCTTTATATATCTGGGTGCACCAGTGTTGGGTACATATAAATTTAGAGTTATTATATCCTCTTGCAGAATTGACCCCTTTATCATTATATCCTTGTCTCTTTTTACAGTTTTTGTCTTAAAATCTATTTTATCTGATAGAAGTATAGCTATTCCTGCTCTTTTTTGGTTTCCATTTGCACAGAATATCTTTTTCCATCTCTTTATTGTCAATCTATATGTGTCTTCATAGGTGAAGTGGGTTTCTTATAGATCAAATATAGTTTCGTTTTCTAATCTATTCAGCCACTCTATGTCTTTTGATTGGAGAATCTGCAAGCCTCATGGCAACCTCAAATCAAAAAACCCTACAACATAAAAAGTGAAAAGCAAGAAATTATAACACACTACCAGAGAAAATCACATTTACACAAAGGAAGACAGGAAGGAAGGAAAGGAGGGAGGAAGGGAGGACTTACAAAACAACCAGAAATCAAATAACAACATGACAGTAGTAAGTCCTTACCTATCAATACTATTGAATGTAAATGGACCATTTTTTAAAAAAATCTGGCTCCTTGGATTGAATAATGGGCTTTTTTTGTTGTTACATTTTAGGAGTTCTCTATATATTATGGATATTAACCCCCTCATCAGATAGGATTTGCAAATGTTTTCTCCCATTTAGTGGATTGCCTTTTACTCTGTTGATTGTGTCCCTTGGCTTACTACAATTTTTGAAAAAATAAACAGCTAAAAAATAAAATTTTAATCAGACCTCTGAAGCTCCAGCCTGGGAAGAGTTAAGAACGTCTGCACTTGACCGGGCATGGTGGCTCATGCCTGTAATCCTAGCACTCTGGGAGGCCGAGGCAGGAG